TAGTATGACGGCCAGTAATATATAGAAAGCTAAGCATCCCTTCGTACCAGACCTAGTGGTCGTCAATCTAGTAGACCCGGATAGTAAGGAATGAGGTTTTTATACCTCTGGATTGCTAGCCATTACACGCGATAGCTATCTTGAATCTACTAGTAAGACGGGTCTTAAGGGATTTAGCAGACTCTTGAACCTTAGTACCGAGCATCCTACGGTATGTCGAGGCGGATTTGAACTGAATTGTCTCGACCTGTCCCGGGAGTAGGGCTATATAAGTCTGTTTTACTGACGGTCGTTCAAAGAACTGGAATGGCAGACTATTGTCGATAATCATCTCGAAGGATAAGCGCGGGAAATCGTCCGGTGTATAGCCTAGGTCCCTCGTCCATCGCGGATTGCTTACAGTCTAGAGATGAAGTTTCAGTATAGTCACTCAGACGTGGTCGGCAGACATGGTCGGCAGGTATGGTCGGCAGGCATGGTCGGCAGGTCTGGTCGTCGGTAGTCAGTACTTACTTGTCGATGCTTTGCGGTTGTAAACATCTCCTTCGTAAACCCTCGCTCATCTTGTTTCTCCTAGCAGTTCGAGGAGTCCAGATGCTTCTCGACAGACGTTGTACCGGTATTCAGTACAGGATGTTTTAGTACAGCGTCACAGCACCTATATACGACTTTGGGTGTTGCATCTTCTTGAAGCATTCCCTCCTCTAGGAAATCCTATACCCAAGATGTCCGAGACTTACTCCCCTAGGTGACTGGGGACCGATCAAACATAGTACGACCGTTCCGCTTTTTGAGCCGCTTCCCAGTATAGTTCCACTAGCGTACCTCGTACCACTTCTCAAAGTTCTCCTTATACTTGAACCTCTATAGCCAGCAGTTGGCCTTAATATCCTACTCCCCGATATAGTCCGGCTCAACGGAGAGTACTAGAGAGGAATCTAGATCTTCTTCTACTATAGTCGGCCGTCTTGTACGACGCTTGCGAACCTCTGTTCTACGTCGGCGGTCCCCTGGTGTTGGGCTCGGTGGGAGGTTCGTCGCGGAACTATATCGTTGGCGTAAGCGAGCGCTCGATCGTGTAGGGGTAGCAGAAGAGCTTCCTAGCTGCGAGGAGGATTCGAATCGGGAGCTTCCGACTCCTGGAGAGGAAGCAAAGGAAGACGAAAACATAGTATTTCAGACTCCGACGTCGTGAATCCGTTACGAGAGGATAGAGGAGAGGGAACGTAGGAATTGAAAGGAGGGAAAGTAGGAATTTCAGAATCCTAGTACGCTACCCTACCAGGGGTTGAGCGAATAGAATTCGCAGGCCTACTTCCGGCTGCGAGCCAACCTATCAGATAGTCTGATTCTTACTACCAACCCTCCTACCCTTTCTTCTATCCCTCTTCGTCTTCTTGAAACAGGCGAGGCTCCTAGTCCTCCGAGTCTGAAATCTCGAACCCTCTAACAAAGTTGCGAATATAGAGTCCTTCGTAAGTCCTTCTCGATTCCCGAAG